TAATCAACTAATCCACCAATCTCAAACTATGAGTATTACGATTAATTAAAATATTTTCAAGTCCATTCATGCCATCACATTTCTTCACTTTTGTTTCATTAATATAATGTTGCTTCATGTTCCATGATAACGCCTCAGATTTTCCCGTGTTTGCCCCATTGTCACAGTTATCATAAGTCCTCAAATTCACATTCTTTTAAAGCTATTAAACTTTCCAATAACCCGTGCGACTACAAAAATTAATTTTTCACTACGATTCACCACTACGTCGCCGACCTTATTGTTTGCTCATCACCTATGGTAATCATTTAATTCTCGATATTATAATCATTTAAGGTACCTTGACACTCTTTCCCTATGCTCCCATGCACCATGCTCACATTCATACTACTCTAGAGTACATGACTCAAGACATAACACGACTCATGACATGGCCCAACCCAAGACGCGCATGAACCTATACACCCAAGTTCTTAACTAAACTTACTTCATATACTTCTTATACATGATCAAATACTATTATCATTCTTTAGAGAATTTTCCCGCACCCTCAGTATTATTTTCACAATATTTTAATGTTTCAATATTATCACTAAAGAATCAAACAAGAAGTTTTGAAAAACTCTTATTTTCATTCTTGTATAATATATCCTCTATTTAAATCCACCACCAATGACAAACCTCAAGTTGTTGTGATTTGGTGAACACCGCATGATTGTCGATAGTGATAGTTTCCAAACTAGATAACTAGTTATCCAAGAAATTAATTTTTACTTCCCAATTATATTTTTCACCTTCATCTGTGTAATCATAACCAATGATTAACCCTAATAATATAAAATCTAACCAAATATTTTCACTGCACACTTTAATACTAATTATAATTTTTCGATTCACTTTTTCAATCCATTATAATCAAAACTAACAACTGATAAAAATTCTCATTGATTGTCTCTCATAAGTACAAGATGCATCCGGAACCGTTGATTAATACTTTTAGAACTTTCAAAATATCTCCACATTTTTAACCAATTTGATCTACCCTATATCTTTCTTCAAGTTCTCAATAAAATTTATTGCCAAACATTGTTTTCGAGTGTTAGGCCGTTGACTAATGTCTATTTTAATTTAAAAGTCATTATTGTCTCCCAAGAGCTAGATGTCCAATGTTGTTATGATAATAAGAAAGTGTCTCGAGTAATAACTCGTAGTGAAATATTATAGTTTTTTTACGTCCAAGATTACAACAACACATTTTATGAAACTTTTAAGTCCCCATGATTCAATCTAGCACCTTAATTTTTCTTGAACTATAAAATATAACCAATATAAAGTTGTATTCCTAAGAGGCTAAATAATTCTTCAATTCCACACCACTAATCACCATAACCTTAAAATTTCTCATGATCCTTAAGATGATAACCATTCATTGGCTTATAGAGTAACCTTGTACTTTGATCGAAACTTAATTGACGTTTCGGATTCATTTTTAATGTTATTTTAAGCTAAAAATATTTATTTTTATGATTTATATCAAAATCAAAGTCAATTTACACCTGAAATACTGAAATTACTATTTTACCCTTTTGAATCCTTATATGAGGTAAACGTCTATTCCAATGTTTCTTGACCTCCAAGATTCAATGGTAATGTTATTTTAACCTAAAAAAATTAATAATTTTATTTAGTTATTCTTATCAATTTTAAACACCTCAAAAATTAAATTTGATCCAAAAGTCAATACGCTCGTAATTTAAACTTACGCGACATTTAACAACGATTTAAAGTTGCTCTCATCATTTTAATTATTTTGAAAATACTAACAGGTTAATATAATTTATATTTATATGAAACACAGGATCTCACATTTATAGATTTTCATTACTTCATGGTTCATTTGGATAGTTCTTGACTTAGTTGAGATATTTTGTTCACTAAATCCTTTGATATTCAAAAGTTTTACCATGTGTTTTTTCTTGTGTCAGAAAGTAGTAGAAAGATTATAACATACTTCATTTTCTAACTTTTCTTTAAACCTTTCAATCTTTTGAATCAAGATGGGACTGGTTAGCTATCATTGAATTCTCTTGTGACTAATTTCTTCTTTAAGAAATTTTACTTGATTATTTTTCTGGGTTATTAAATTAAGATACTTAGAAATTGAATAATCTTTAAGTTGTCTTAATTTTTTGATTTGAGGTTTTGTTAAAAATTTAAAGATGGATCCATATTAAAGATGGAGGTTATGGGTATCTGCTAGGAACATGTTCTGGTTGACCTATATAAACTATCTGAGTTTTTAGTTTTAGATTGTTTATCAGATTGGCTAGAAGCTTAGTTTCTTGATTTGCTGAATTTATTTTTTGCTTTAAGAATATTTAAAGCTTCTTCTAACTACTTATCTTGTAATTTTAACTCTTTTATATCCTATTTTAACTTGTTAACTTCATATTGAAGATCTTAGAAGTTATAATATATATATATGTGTGTGTGTGTGTGTGTGTATGTGTGTGTGGGTCACAACATTTAACATATATTTTAGACAAGTAAAAAATAAAACACTTGTTTTAGTGGTCAATATGCCCTTAAGTCACAAAAAATTAAACAAATTAAGAGGGGGTAAATGTGTTAATTAAACAAATTTATGAAACATGTATAAAGGTAGTTCAAAAGTCAGGGACCAAACGTGGCTCCGCCCTTTGCATGGTGGCCTAGCCATTTTTTCCCTGAATAATGGTAATCTGGCTATTTAGCTGCTATAACGCAACCAACACTGATAGATATTATTGTATATGCAGTCCTTGTTCAGAAAACTTCAAAGCATTAGTAATGAATCATATCATAGTTTAGATTGGGGCAGTCAGTTTGTGTCTTCTTCTCTTAACCAAATCAGCTAGGTAGAGGTGNATATCATAGTTTAGATTGGGGCAGTCAGTTTGTGTCTTCTTCTCTTAACCAAATCAGCTAGGTAGAGGCGTGTTTTAAATTAAAAATATCTTGATACACATTCTAGCAAAGTCAAATAAAAATTCTTTAATTCTACAATAATTCATACAACACTAGATCAAGAAATGAAAAAATAAAAAATTTCTTTCCATATAGTATCAATAAACGTGTCTTTCTCGTGTCCAAAATTGTGTTATTCTTATTTAACACTGATTCAACCCATTATTTTTATCGTATAAAGATCGCGTTGTGTAAAATATTGTCGTCGCTTGTATAGTCAGCATCTGGGAAATCTCCTCCACCAAAACCTCTCCTACTCAATTATACCTTCATCAAATCAAACCTTTTGAATCCATATTAAAATCTGACGTTGCAATCGCCGCTGTCTGAAAACCATTTTTCTTTTGGTATTGACAGTGACATCTCTTTGCCGTCCCTCATCTGTCTATCTATTGTTTGTAGATATTGTATTTTATCTTCTCATCTCTTTTTTTTGTCGAGAGAGTAAACCTCGGATACCTGTAGCCACTCGCAAACTATAGGTATCGGGCAAGGAGACACAGGTGGGTCGAACCCCTGATGTTCAAGTCTACAGTTTTGTCCAAATCCAACCCAACGCCATTGGTATTCCCCTGCTGGTTAGCTTCCCATCTCTTTTTACTCTGTCAAATGTTAACAGAACCTACAAATGGACGTCACAAATTGTTTTCGTCGAGCCGTGTAAATCAACAAAAGGATGCAACTTTGTTCGGTTGACTCACCTAATACATAAATTACAGCAGCAGGGGGGTATGTACATGCCATCTTGTCATCCTTGACACCTTAACCAAAGAACTTGTCTAGTTAACCACCGAAGCACGTAAACTAATCAGGGGCGGCTCGACACAAAATGGGGTTTAGACCAAAAATTTAAAAAACTCTAAATTTTATTTTTTGGGTATTAAAATAAAATTAAACTTAATTGAATTTATGTAAATAAAAACTTTATTTAAACATTAAATTTAATTAAACCTCTATAAAATAGGACCTTAATAATTCAGAGGCCTGAAGCGACAACTTCAATGACTACGCCATTGAGGCGGCCCAGAAACTAATGAAGCAACCATTAGACAATGTTTTTTAATGAATTTTTTNAGAGGCCTGAAGCGACAACTTCAATGACTACGCCATTGAGGCGGCCCAGAAACTAATGAAGCAACCATTAGACAATGTTTTTTAATGAATTTTTTAACACAAACCGGCAATTGAGATTGACAAAGTCAGATTGCATATAATAGAAAAGCTTCAATAGGTTANAAGGATGCAACTTTGTTCGGTTGACTCACCTAATACATAAATTACAGCAGCAGGGTATGTACATGCCATCTTGTCATCCTTGACACCTTAACCAAAGAACTTGTCTAGTTAACCACAGAAGCACGTAAACTAATCAGGGGCGGCTCGGCACAAAATGGGGTTTAGACCAAAAATTTAAAAAACTCTAAATTTTATTTTTTGGGAANGTAAACTAATCAGGGGCGGCTCGACACAAAATGGGGTTTAGACCAAAAATTTAAAAAACTCTAAATTTTATTTTTTGGGTATTAAAATAAAATTAAACTTAATTGAATTTATGTAAATAAAAACTTTATTTAAACATTAAATTTAATTAAACCTCTATAAAATAGGACCTTAATAATTCGGAGGCCTGAAGCGACAACTTCAATGACTACGCCATTGAGGCGGCCCAGAAACTAATGAAGCAACCATTAGATAATGTTTTTTAATGAATTTTTTAACACAAACTGGCAATTGAGATTGACAAAGTCAGATTGCATATAATAGAAAAGCTTCAATAGGTTAATGCAGGGGAAGATCTCCTTTCGTGTANGGCAATTGAGATTGACAAAGTCAGATTGCATATAATAGAAAAGCTTCAATAGGTTAATGCAGGGGAAGATCTCCTTTCGTGTATATTTAGGGAGGATCAGGCGTATTCAATCAAGTTGGTTTTATACCAGGAACCCATTTTCAGTTGTTCTCTGCTTCAGGAGATCAGGATGGGTTCTTTCTCAATGGAAAGTTTTGTTGGGAATGGATCTCTGAAGGAACTTCTTCCAAAGCTGTTAGATGAAGGCTGGGACGATGTTCCATCCTTGAAGATTATGAATTCTGAGGATATGAATGCAATAGACATGACTCATCAACAAAAGGTTAGTTTACCATCAGAATCAGCTTTTTAATATTGCCAACAAATGTTATCTTAATTCTTAAGTTCTTTGGTTTAGTTCAATGAATATTTGAATATCTAATGATCATTTCCCTGATGAAACAAACTTAAGCATAGTTTACTCTAAAGAAAAAACCATGAGAAATATTTCCCCAGGAAAGGAAAGTTAAATACTGATCATAGCTCAATTATTTTTACCTAGTTTCCTCAACAGTCGTATCATAAGTTGAATATCTCGGTATATGTTCCCTTTACATTTCGGAGTTCAAAATCAACACTTTCCTTGGTGATTTTCTTTTTCTGATTCTGGAAAAATTGAGTACATGCATGACCAACCGTGATCTCTAAAGGTTTTTCTTTGTTCTACTCAAGGATGCGCTAGAAATCAGGTCTTACCTGCACGATCGTGTACTGATGCAATATGGGGACAAGCTAGAGGCCTCAGGGAAAGTTCTTCCAGAGCTTCTCAACTTAAGCATGGCAGATCTTTCTTCTCAGTATGGTATGAAAAGAGGCCACATCGCCCGTTTCATGGACAGAACTAATGCGTGTGGATCAGAACCTTTGCCAGAGTCATATGCTCTGCAAGTAAGGAAAAGAAACACAGCACGTTCAAGAAACAATAGTATTTACAAGGGTGAGTCCGTGTCAATCAACTCCAAAAAGATGCAGAGTATGACGAGCTCAAAAAGAAGTGGAGCTACTGATGCGTCCCTTGAACAATCCCTTGCTAGTTTCAAGATCAAAGATGGACANAGGCCACATCGCCCGTTTCATGGACAGAACTAATGCGTGTGGATCAGAACCTTTGCCAGCGTCATATGCTCTGCAAGTAAGGAAAAGAAACACAGCACCTTCAAGAAACAATAGTATTTACAAGGGTGAGTCCGTGTCAATCAACTCCAAAAAGATGCAGAGTATGACGAGCTCAAAAAGAAGTGCAGCTACTGATGCGTCCCTTGAACAATCCCTTGCTAGTTTCAAGATCAAAGATGGACATGTCTTTAAGGGGATTGTGGCTGCGTTGCCTGCTGAGCCTAGAGCATGTGGTTGTGTACAGCCTCCCCCTGTTGTTGAGAGTGTTGCACCATACTCAATTATTGAGAATATCTCAGTTCAGAAACTGACTCCAGAATATAAGATTGGAATGGAGCGTTTGGTGAAAACAAAGACACCTCCCATGAAGGCTTTGGAAATATGGCGTGATAAGCCGGCTGTGGTCCTTTGCATCCGCCGCCCTGGGTAAGTTTTTCTGTGCACTGTGCATTTTACCTTGTCTTAATTTCTTCAAAATCCGTTCCAAATCCCCTCTAATGATTTTTTTGTTTCCCTCCATTTCCCTCCTTGAAGGATCACGACCATGTATTAATGAGGGATCCACTTATATACAACGGGTCTCACTTCGATTCATGGTAGGTGATGTGCCTAGAAGGAAAACAAAGGAAAAGCGTATTGGAGGAAATCTCACTCCTATTACACACAAATATGCATTTAAGAATTGCAAATGCCAGAAGCGATCAATGACTGCTGTGTTCATGATAGCATATTAAGTGCAAACACATTGCAAAAAGCCATGGCACATAGAACATTAAATGAAAAGTATCAGATAATTAGCAGTGTGAATTATGTGAAATGAGTACATTTTTTAGTTAATTCCATCAATAAACAGTCTTAACACTACACATTATGGTGAAGAGAAAATGTCTAACCCACCCATTTTGAGGGAAAATGTGTCTAGTAAAACATACAACATCCCGTCTTCTTGTACGTGTTTTTTCTTCACTAGAAGTGTAAATCAGCATATTAATACTGGTGTTCTTTATCTGTACATGGGAAAACAGATGCATAATGTGCAGAGCTGAAGCCCATCGACTGTATGCCAAAAAACCCATATTTGATGCTCTCGGGGTTCAATTATTTGTTGTTCTTCATGAGCACATTGAGGCAGAGGTACGTTTTGCCTATGTTCTCCAATTTGCACTTTAATTTACTGACATTGTTTTTTCAATAATTCAAGGTAAAAGATTTCTGGCCCCGTTATTGGGGTGGTGTTGTACTCCATGATCGTGGAATGGAATTTTTCAAAGCTCTGGGTGGAGGGAAGCTGCTCAAGGACAAGTTCATATCTGGATTTCTATTCAATCCTCGAGCCATTGCAAATTACAAACGTGCAAAAGCAATGGGAGTGGAGCAAAACTTCAAGGGAGAAGGTGAAATAAAAGGTGGACTCTTCATAGTGGGCAGAGGAAGGAGTGGAATAGCCTATCAGTTTATAGAAAGGAATTTTGGAGACTGGGCACCTCTTACTGAAGTCATTGACATCTGTGCTCGGTTGCAGGTAGTGCTTGTAGGCTTCTCTAAGTCTATTCTCTCAGTAAAATATTCTAATTAGCTTCTTCTAATTTTTGTGCAGAACAAGNACTGAAGTCATTGACATCTGTGCTCGGTTGCAGGTAGTGCTTGTAGGCTTCTCTAATTCTATTCTCTCAGTAAAATATTCTAATTAGCTTCTTCTAATTTTTGTGCAGAACAAGCTGCAAAGTCAGGAGTCCATCAAATCATCACAACAACATGGATAAGTTTGGTTTTGTTTTTCCCTGTAATTCCAACATATATAAAGTACTGGTTGTGTAATTCATTTCTTGTATTGACTTGGAGATATATGTTTATTCTTTCTGTCTGATCAGACAGCTTTAAATATCTTGATTTAAAGTAAATTTGATGTGGCGATCTAAATAACTGGAACTAGCGCAAAGGAAAATGCTGCATCTTGTGTTGATTTGTCAAAGAAGAAGGGGATCAGAATTGTACCTTCGTCATACCATAGTCCATCAATGCTTGATCATTTTGATTCTTGGTTTCGAGCACGCATCCTTCAATCCGATTAAACAGTGGCAGTCCACTCCAGAGAAGTTTCTCCTACAATTTTTTCATAATTCTTCATCTAAATGCATTTCCTTTTCTATACCAGTTCTACAGTACACTTTTTCTTGAGACCAAAACCATATTGTAGTTCAATATATCATAAAATTCATCTGAAATGCTGCCAAAAAGAAAACTTCGACTGAAGAGTTTAGATCATTCCCCCCCCCCCCCCCACACACAAAATATTCTGGCTCTCTGTCATGTAGCTGATGCATTTTATAATTTTACTGCCCTCTAGCAAAATTTCAAACACTAACTGCACTCATCACCAGAAATCTCCTCATGAACATGCTGCATCTTTGAAGTTATGGAATCCAACAGCATCTCTTACAAGAATCTCTGTGTGTGTTGTATCCAACAGCATCTCTTACAAGAATCTCTGTGTGTGTTGTACTTTGAAATGAATTTTAGTTGCATTTGGGCAATCCATACATACGCTGAGGTTTTTGATCACTAGAATGGGTAGACCAGGAGGACCAAAAAACCATAAGCCATTAGCAAGNCTTTAAAATGAATTTTAGTTGCATTTGGGCAATCCATATATACGCTGAGGTTTTTGATCACTAGAATGGGTAGACCAGGAGGACCAAAAAACCATANTCCAACAGCATCTCTTACAAGAATCTCTGTGTGTGTTGTACTTTGAAATGAATTTTAGTTGCATTTGGGCAATCCATACATACGCTGAGGTTTTTGATCACTAGAATGGGTAGACCAGGAGGACCAAAAAACCATAAGCCATTAGCAAGCTTCTCAGTAATGATTGATCATCTTTTTTTTGGTACTCAATGATTGATCATCTTTATCTTCTCCAAACATATCCTTCCTGTTTTTCAGTTCAATTTTTGCAACTCGGCAAATACCTGATCAGAATATGGATTTGATCTGTCATCAGCTGAGACAATGCGAGCTGGATTCATCGATGTAATCCAACTACATCCCAGTTCCTTTCTTACACCGTTATCACTCATTCCTCATTTTAATCGAGCCACCTCATCCCATTTCCCTTTAGCAGCACACATGCTTGAGAGCAAGATATAGCTTGCAGGATTATGGGGCTCCAGCTTGAGCAGAGATGCTAATGCCCATTGTCCAATTTCCATGTTACCATGATTTCTACAAGACCTCAGCAATGTCCCCCAGCCAATTGCATCAGGACAGAAAGGCATTTTATGCATGAAACTTTTTGCTTCCTCTAACAATCAAACACGAGTGAATGATCAATCAAGTGTAGTGATCCAGAACTAGCATGACTCCATGTTCTTCTTTCATGGATTCAAAACACTGACGTTCTTTCTTGTCTAGTCCCGTTCTACTGCAATCTGATACAACCCCAATGAAAGTTGCTTCAGGGTTTCAGACCATGGGCCAATATATTTTCAAATAAGTCAATTGCATGAAAGCCACAGGTATTTTCTTGCCCTTTTCAAGAGCTGCCCGTATTTCGAGTGAGCGGAGAGAATGGTGTTCCATAAGAATTTGTTTGGTTGAATAATTTTATCAAACACATTGCATGCATGTCTAAATTGTTCAGTTTCTAGTATTCATTGATGAAATGGTTCCATAGGAAGGTTTTCTGGGGTAGATATGGTTTTGAGTAGTAAGCAGTGGAGCTTTTTGGCATGGGTTGGGTAGTTGTTGTCACAGCAGAGTTTGAGTAATGAGCACTTGTAGTTGGAGGTGTTACGTGTTAGACACAATGTTTCTAAGTTTTGTCAATGGTGGATTCTAGTGGTCCTGCAGGAGAGAATTTTTTTTCACACATCAGTGTATNAGTTGTTGTCACAGCAGAGTTTGAGTAATGAGCACTTGTAGTTGGAGGTGTTACGTGTTAGACACAATGTTTCTAAGTTTTGTACTGCCCATTGTGCTTTCTTCAAAATTTTGCCAATGGTGGATTCTAGTGGTCCTGCAGGAGAGAATTTTTTTTCACACATCAGTGTATTGGCCCTCTTTCACTGGTTAAAGGAATTGTACACGTGGGAATCATGTACATAAAAGATTCTTCTTTAATGCGCAAGACTCTCGCTTATTGCGGGATCAGAAGTATGGGAGACGCAACCGATTCTCAAACTTTAAATAGCATTGTATAGACTTCAAATAATATCTAGCTCTGTACATGCAGAAACAATGTAATTGTCTATGGCAAGCAACTCCCACTTGTACAATCAATCAAAACAAGATACCTTACACTTGATTAAATTTCCAAGGGTACCAAACAAGGTCAACAATGACTCTAATATAACTGATACTACAAGAATGTATTGAATAGACAGGGATAACAATGCATCCAGCTTTGAGTCTTCCCCCCTTGATCGAACATCACCACCATGGTTTAACTTGTTATCTTTTTACAAGTCCCAGGTGGTTCAACTGTACTCACGATTGAAAACAAAAGCCCCCCAGATTCTCTTACATTTCCTGTGAAGTTTCCATCTTTAATCAGCAAATCCTCTCATTCACAGAGCAAGCCTAACTCTATGAACTAAAAAATTTCACTGCTTGGCTGTGTGATATATAGTTCTTGAGCAAAAGGAGGCTGCCACAAAACCATAAGCATGACAAATCTTCATGTTCTGGCCAGGCAACAACAGACCCCCAAGCTTCAAAACCAGATTGATTGAGTGCCAAATAGCTGGCAGATCTTGAAGTACGACTATGGTGATAGCACAATTCAACAGCCCCAACAAGAAGACCATTTTTTACCCTCCCTCAGATAGTAGTGCAACAATATAGGAGGCAGGTGGCATTAACGAAAACTACACAACAATTAGCGCTCTGCATTCATGTGGCCTGGTGGCAGGAACATTGAAAATGCACAAGAGTTCGGTGGTTAGACTCAACATTTGGCTGTTTCAGAAGTCAATATGGTACAATTTACAAGTTATACCACTTAAATCTGGGCTGTTGAGTGGAGCACTGATCACATGGGAATTGAAGCCCATCTGGACAACATTGTGGAGCTCGTCCTCCCACACATTAGATACCTAAGGATAGACACATGAAAATAAATGGTAGAATGTTATGCAAAGTGACTCATGCTGGCCAATTAGAAAGCTCATTTGTTATTCAACATGAACACAGTAATCTGCCTGATCCATAAACTTTCATCACGCAGAGTCCTTTTGGAAAAGGAAAGAAGAAAACAAGGCATAATTCCATGATTGTTCCTCCCATACAAAATTCTGAAAGAACTTACTGATCATCGGACCTAGTTATAACTCTTCTCAAGGCCACTAATTTAATTACTCCAAGGAGAAAAAGAAGCAGACATATGTCATCATACCATTAGCCATAAGGAAGAGCAGAAGAGTAGTATGATAATGCAAAAAAACAGGGTTTAAAGGAAATACAAATTTGATAATAGATATAAAGTACCTGAGAAGTAGGCTCCTTATACCCTCCAGTCATGGCTGTCCCTTGTGAATTAATGGTTCTCCGAAGAGTATCCGAAGAGTTTCCCAGCCCAGAAAAACCTGCTTGGATTAGTCCAGGTTGAGATGAATGTAACAAAGGAAAAGGCATAGTCATATCAGGCGGAAAACCCAGTGTTGAAGGACCAGCGTGTGATTGAAGGACCTGTGATGAAGTTGAACATATATTGCTGGGTCAAATGGGGTACATTATTAATACACATGCACCAAAATAGTTTTTTTTTTTTTTTAAGTCTATGGGGTGTGCATGTTGGTGCATCTTCTCTTACATCTTTCGCAAGGAGCCCTTCAATGTTAAAATCCAACCGTGGATTAACTGTAGCAAGCTTCATCGACAGAAACTGAGGAAAAAAAGTAGTAGTTAGACAAAGTAACCATCAACTCATTAAAACCATACTAGTTTACCACAAAAATAGCTAGCAAAACTGGGAAGTGGGTTCTCCGCACAAGGGTACACAAATTGAATCCTTGAGCACCCAAAAAGTTTCAGTCAACTTCGTAAAGAGCTAATGTATCACTAAACTTCAACTTTTTTGCAAAAGATTAAAAAAAATCTATTTTCGGTTTCCTGATATTAATATGTTAACACAATCTGAAGCAGTGCAAGAATACCAACCAAACCTTTTCACAAGTTAAACTACGTGAAGTCACTCGAGACACAAAAGGGCAACATAAACACAAGAATTTGAACGGCTGTGGTGAAGGTAAAAAGAGAAAATAAATTAGATTTTTGACTAGCATACCTCAACCTGCTGTTGCAGTGATTGTACATAGTTAATAATTTCATCCAGCATAACCGCTTTGCCTGTGACCTGCAAAACTAATCAATTCTCATTTAGTGAACTGCAAAATCAACCCTTGATTCCTAAGATGATTTTACACAGTAAGTCAGTGATACCAACAATCTAACCTTGCTGCACCCAGGTACAAGGTCCTGCAGAAACTTCATTCTTTCACTGATCTTTTCTCTTCTCACCTATTATTAAAACCAATAAGCATCAACCCAAAAGTTGAGATAAGATATTTCCTTTTGTTGCAACTTTAAACTTCCATAAAAGGCCTTACTCTTTCTGCAAGGCTGTGGCTGTTTGTTGCCTGGCCCTTACGTGCTCTAACATGAATGTATTCTTCCTTCAGTGAAGCTGAAGCTGGAGACCTCTGCTTACCCTGTTTTCCATTGGGTTTATTGGTAACTGAAATTGGGCTTTGATTTCCTTGCTGTTGAATTTCTGGGCTATCCTTTGGAGTTTCAGTTGGTTGTTGTGGGGCTCGCTTGACTTGATCAATCTCAATATCCTACCACAAAAGAACTACAATTATCAATAAGCAAAAATTCGATGATACAACGCAACTGTTAATAATAGTGAACATAATTTCACCTGACCACTTCTTTTCCTTTTCTTTGAGCCAACTGCCTTAGGGGAAGGTTTCCCACCTCTACCTTCCAGCATGGACGGCTCTTCTTGACCACCACCGCTAAACTCAGCTTCATCAGACTCGTTACCTGACACACCGTCTCCCCCAAAGCTCACACTCTTTTTATCATCCTTAAGTGGGCTTCCTTTAATAGCCTTACCCTCAACATCTTTGGAATTTTCGGTCATGCTAATCTCTTTTTTCTGATGCTGATTGTATATTGTTTTCAATCCATTTCCTAGAAAAACCTCTTGTGGGCCTTGCATTGATGCCATACCCCTGGAATAAGGATTCATAGATTGTGGACTGCTAAAAGGGTTCATGATATCACCAAAGTCCCCTGCACTGAAACATGAGAACCTCGCTGCTCTCTCAATGAACCCCGAATCTGCAGGAAATTGAGATAAGCTAGGAGGAAGCATCCCAGAAGCAGTAGGTAAAAACACACCTCCTTTTAACATTGCATTTGGAGGAGTCCAACCCATACCAAGTGTCCTCTCACCACCAGTTCTTAAGGGGCCCATACCACTTGTTCCAATTCCCAGTGTGTTTGAATTGCTAGCACTGTTTGGAACATTAATTTCGCAGATACCTAAGTTTTGTGAATGGGTAGACTGGTCCCAAATGGTAGTGCAAAATGAGTCCACCATGGAAACAAAGGAACATGAAGGAGACTCCACTAAATTTCCTTTAAAATCTGCCATGGAATTGCATCTGGGAATCAATTCCACGGATGTATTCATGAGATTGGCATCACTAAATCGCCAGTCGGCGGACAGATTAGGTGAATGGTAATTCAGAGGATCCACATTCCCTTTTTCTGGTTCAAGATTATCCCTGCCAGCCATATCAATTGTCTTTGGCAACAATAACAAAGTAGCCAGAACCAGATACCTCTCCCTCACAGTTGTGTCTGAACAAAACATATAACCCGATAAATTGAAGCTACAGAATTGACCACCCTAAAAAAGCCATAATTTCTCAATAACCTCAACAAACACTAAACACCCAAAAAGAGAAAATTAAAGATATCATATAGAAAACTACTAACTCATACAGAAGCAATAACTTTATCAGCTAGTTTCAACAAAGACCCCCGAATTTGAAACTCATGAAATGTAAAATTAAACAAAAAAAAAAGCACTGTGTTAATTAAGGGTTAGCAGACAAATTTCTTAAAGAAGCTAAATGCACCGGAAAACAAAGACTACCATATTAAAAATCAGGCTAGTCACCCAGGAGCAGCTGATAAAAATTTAGGAATGACAAACTTCATATCATGAGCTGAAATCACAAATATAGAGAATTGGAACAAAAAACCAAGCACTAAAATTAAGTACAAAAAGGCCACATTTCGAAATAGTCCTCCCAAATTACCCTGGAGAGGCCCCCCCAAAGTCAAGGAAAACACAAACCCAACTCAAAAAAGAGATAAAAAAAAAAAAAGTAACCAGAAGCTGTTAATTAAGCATAAATGCTCATTCAAACTCTGCTATGAAAACCCTAGTCAGAGAAAAAAGGCCCAGCTCTGAAGCAGAGAAAGACCAAACAGAAAGTGGCAAGAGAAAGGTACCAATTTCAGATTCTGTGCTACTTTTAGTACTCTGTACACNCATTGATTTCAGTATCATAAATGCTCATTCAAACTCTACTATGAAAACCCTAGTCAGAGAAAAAAGGCCCAGCTCTGAAGCAGAGAAAGACCAAACAGAAAGTGGCAAGAGAAAGGTACCAATTTCAGATTCTGTGCTACTTTTAGTACTCTGTACACCATTTTGGAGTTTTTTACACTGTTGCAAAAGTTCTCTTGAACTTTGTTGGGTAATGACTGATCAAAGTTCATACCCTCCTCTCTGTTTCAGTTCAGCTAAACTGATATGTAATGTCATTGTTTCATGGTCCAAGAAAATACCACAGAGGTGAAGATACAGATTTTGAAGAACAGCTAGAGAGAGAGAGAGAGAGAGAGAGAGAGAGAGAGAGAGAAGGAGGCTTCAGAAATGGGTATTTGTTAGAAGTAACTAAAAAAGAAAGCTTTATAGCAAAGGTCCTGCATTTATATCCCCCGACTGCATCAAACAAGTAGAGCCCATGATGATTAAGTATTAACCGCCCCCACAGCTAACTTGAAAATATAGTTTTTTTAAGTATTGGGGAAATGTCTGTGGCTTAATTTACACTTTACTTTACTAATTCAGGTAAAGGTACATCATTTACGTCTAAACTAATTAATTCACGCAAAATTTATTTTCATAGTCTAACTCTAAAAAGATTATCAAATTTTTAATGCAGAATTTCTAAATTTACGATTTATTGAAATTTTCACTTATCTACCTCCTACGGTTGTAAAAATATAGTATGCGTAGATTATCTTTTTAAAGTTTGCTTTGGGGGTGACATTTGAGGGCTGTATCATTTTTTTTAATTTAATTTAAATGTGTTGTCATTAATTTGATTATTTATTAATCATGTCGCATTCGGTTCGCTTGCAAGAACCAAAATCTTAAAGAAATAAAACACATACAATTTTTATTTTTTCTGTCAATTGCTCGTGTTCAATATTAGCATAACGCGTTTAATATTCATGTTAATGTACTATGTCATTTTAAAGTTCTTTAGTCAACACTAATTTGTTAATTTCACGTTGAGTTTCTGTCATATTTACATGTTATGTTGTCGTTTATATTTACCCATGTAGTTCTAACTCATGCTTTTAAATAAAAAAATATATATATCATAAATTAAGTCTTTAATAGAAAACATTGTTTGCTTATAATACATGCTTTTACATTAGCAAATGAGGTCTTTTTTTTTTTTTTAAAAAATAAATGGGATAAAAATTAAGAAAACAATAGAGTGGGAAATAAGTTTTAAAATACTGTAAGCTGATAAAAAACTGATTATTATTATTATTTTGTGTTTATTTATGTGTAAAGCCTGCCCAAGCTTTTTCTACAAGAAACATTTTTTATGCCCTAATTCATTTACAGTTTTCAAACTTGTACTTTGGTCTGTTAACCTTAATATAATCTCTATATTTATTATGCATAAAGAACAGAAGCTTAAGCTAGCAACTGACAATGCCAACTCTCATTAGATGTTATTTTCTTTTGTTTAGTACATTCTCCTTCATTAAACCTTGGGGGGAGAACTTATAATCTTTCTACTACCTTGGGAAGAGAGCTCATAATCTATATACTAGGAGAAGACTACGTTGTCTGTCTACCAACATGTAACCGGTTACTCTTTGAAAAAAAAAAAAAATT